ACACATAATGGCAACTATGATCTCTGCCAGCCAGTCAGAGCTGCTCTCAGCATGACGTGTGCAGATGTGCAGGCAATTGCATCGCTACACTGGCTTTATTGTGCATACTGGACACACATGTAAAACGGAACATCTTTGATTTAGGGTAGTTGGTTGCACACAATGTAAGTGGATCTATATTGGGAGTGATGGACCAGGCTTTCTGTTTTCAACAGTGTTTCAAGATGACAGAAGCTTTTCTGCATGAATTTAAATTTTACTTCTTTTTTTTCCCCCCACATTTAATTAGATTTTTTTTTTTTGCCTGTCTATAAATAATGCCATTGAATTTGCTGTACATTGTTTTTTCAACATGAAGGAATTAGCGTCCACCAGCACTTTTCACTATTGAATTTCCCTTCTGGGATAAATAAAGTATTTTTCATTTCATTCATTTCATTTCATTTCACTTTAAATTCTAATTCATCCCTTAAACAGGACTTGCAGGGATAAAACAGACCAGTAACATCGAAAAAGTTATTTCGCATTTCAAGTACAGTGACTATGTCTATGAAGTTCTAAATGGAACAGTCAGCTCTGGAGTTTTGTTGCAACTTCAAGAGTAATTTAGAAGTTACTTGCTTTTTCTTTTGAAATAAGTGCACAACTGCATCTTCTCTTAAAGGCTGAAAACAAGGATTTTGACCTGATGAATTTAGATACAAATTTTAGAGCTAATAACTACATGGATGCATTTTGTCCACAAAGCTACCATGCTTCTTTGATGAGGTTTTTTATGTATGCAGAAGCAGCTTTAACACTTTTGATGCTAAGTAGGTTTTCACATATGAGGAATTTGACTTGGTGTGTAACATAAAGAGATGGCCGGGCCACCACACATCAGCTCAGCTTAGACACAACTAGTCAATACGCTTGTTTCTCACTCAGTCAGTACAGATGTGGAACAATAAAGTTCTTTTAATGCAGAAGTAATATTGAAACAAGGAATTTAATACCGCACATGAACTGTCATGGTCAAACACTGTCATGTCTCGATGTTTCAAAATACCATTTTTTAAGCAGATCACTTTTGGGGAAAGATAAAAACAATTGCTGATTTCATCTTGTATCTGCACTATCCCCTTCATTTCTTTAAGAGCAGACAAGCAGTGGGCTGCTTTAAGATGTTGTGAGGCAAACATCAAGTTTTGCTTTGCTAAAGAACTTGCAAAACCCGTGACCTTATGTGCTGTAGTTGTATCTGTGCATCTCTCATTTCATTCGCTGTTATTATCCTGCATAAATGTGGTTCATGACATGCGGAGGTTGAAGCCTAAACTGATGAATTATAAAATGTCCCACACATTTGTGTATTTTTAATCTCCTCAAAAACATGCTCGCTTATTGTTCTTGTCTGCCATTTGAAAAACAATTAGTTTTGGTGAGCAGTAGAAGCTGCAGCAGAATTAAATTACATCCCATCTGCCCTTTACATGACGCTTTTCCTTCAGCCTTTCCTGCTACTGATGGATCATTGTTCCTCTCTCTTCCTGTTGTGGCTCAGTTTGACTAACATATAGTAACAGGAGGACTGTGGGTGGCTGAGTCTGCCTTGAAGATCTGTAAATTTCTAAACCGAATTACCAAACTTGCAGGAAAAATGTAGATGGAGTAAGTATGAATGTGTGTAATTGTGAATGAGAACAACAAATTACTGCAAGTAAGCAAGCATGTCTATTAAACCCTCACCTAAGTAAACTATGGAACTTAATCCTATTGTAATGGTTAAAGTGCCTGAAGATTAGACATGGCTCAGTTCAAAATGATGTCTTGATCGCACATAATGTGAAACAATCAGAGGCTTTATTCACCAAACAAGAGGTTCACATTCAAGGTTACAGAGTTGTTTTTGGGCTGGGCTCAGGCTGGCCCTAATCTACATTAAGAGAATAGAAGTTCCATTACATAATATAGTCGGATTGGCACAGAGAAGAGGTACGAGGTCATTAAAAACAATGGCAACAGTCAGCTCACAACCCTGCAAAGTAACCTTGGGAAGTTATGTTTATATTCAGTGTCCTTACTGAAAGGCATTGTGAGTGTCTCTGACAGCTAACAAACACACTGAGTGCCTTTCCGTCCTCATAGCAGAGTCCGTTTTTAAATATTTTTGAAGTGCAACATCGGTTACATCCATCTGTGAAACCATGGCAGGAATCTTGGCGCTTGTAAAATCCCTGATCCACAGTGTGCCGTGAAGGCTTTTTCATAATTACAAAAACTCTACCTCCTCAACAGCTTTTTTGCATTTAAACATGTTGCCAAAGATTCTCTGTCACTGTTATGGATTATCTCAACCCAGCTGTTAAATTTTACATTTCAAAGTTTAATCGTCACTTTTGACCACATGTACATGAAGAATTACAACTAGATTTTACTGTTCCCAGCAATATGCAGTTTCTCTTGGTATATAACCAGCAATATAAGGACCAAGTCATAATGTAGGGCTCCAAGGTGGTGCAGTTGGTAGCACTGTTGCCTCGCAGCAAGAAGGTCGTCAGTTCGTGTCCCGGTGGATCTTTCTGCGTGGAGTTTGCATGTTCTCCCCGTGCAGTGTGGGTTCTCTCCGGGTTCTCCGGCTTCCTCCCACAAGTCCAAAAACATGTTGAGGGTAATTGGTGATTCTAAATTGTCCGTAGGTGTGAATGTGAGTGTGGAAGGTTGTCTGTCTCAAAGTGTAGCCCTGCGATGGACTAGTGACCAGGGGTGTCCAGGGTGTCCCCTGTCTTTGCCCTAAGTTGGCTAAGACTAAGCTGTGTTAAGGTCGGCACCTGGTACTGGTTTAGCTTTAGACTTTGGACAAAAATGTATGAGTGCTGGTACTTCAATTTTGTTAGTTTGAGATAACAGCTAACAGTTTTAATCTAGTTTTCAACAGTGAAATTTTGGTCTCATTTTTGCATTTTAAATTTTTCCTCCAAGCACTTTGAGGCTACAGCTGTCATTAGCATTAGGTATGGCTACCATGGTTAAATGGTTATTGTTATGATTGTTATGGTTTTTTTTGTCCATCTGGAATTTAATGGAAAAGGGCTCACTGTCTGTGTTTCTCGGCACTCCTTAGTAAATGCAGTGAACACTATCATTGTTCTCTCTCCGTTTTGGCCTTCTCACTTAGCTTTAGCATTAGCATTACGAGCAGCTACCTATCCCCGACAGACAGTAGCATCTTTCAGCAAATGATTAACTGACTTGTTCACTAAAATTCTTATTTACTGCCTTAGCTTGATGCTTAGCTAAATGGTTGCAAAACATTAATACATTTGTCCAAAATGATTTCTTTTGCAAACATCTACAGGGCAACTTAGATGTCCTCCACATCTTCTGACAGAGCTACAGATACTGCAGGTCACCAAGACATTGCATTGAAACAGTAACAATGTTACTAACAACTAAATTCAGAGTGAAAGTTAAATTTACACTAGTCAACTCATCTAACAGAAAGAAAACTCTGCATAATTTAACACCAATGATAAACGTTGTTCAGAAAAATACTCCATGGAGCCATTTGGAACTGCTTATTACATTCTTCTATAATCATTTTTTAAACGCCACTAAAATCAGTGGAACTTTGCTCTGTGCATATGAACACATATGCACACAAATTATCCTACAAAACATGACATCAACTCACTGAAGTTAACAAATAACATTTAAAATATATTGCAGTTTGACATCCACATGCCTGCACTAAATGTAGTTGCTAATTATCATTTTTGAGAGCTTGTATGCCAGTTCATTCTGACACAAAATACATATAACTTCGATTTTATTTTATAGATTAAAATACTTCCAAAGCATGGTGGTTTTATGAGATGATATCTATTACATCCCCACATAATAGTCTATTCATTTGTTCATTTCGCCTCTCTGTAGCATTTTTATGTAAACCATTTTGTCAAAATTCTCATTGTGAATATCATTTTTTCTTGTTAGTTTTTGTTGTGAAAAATAGTTCTTCAATGAATGTTTTTTTGTCACAATGCTGTAAATTAGCAGTGTTGTAGAATGATGTGGTGACATGTGATGGAATAAAATGCAACACAAGACTAAACACTAAACATCTTGACGTCCAGATCACGATAATATCTTTTTGTTTGCTTGGTTTGTTTTTTATCTAGCAGTTCATGGCCTAACTGAAAAATTGGATCTTTGCCTAAACAGTGCTGAAGTCCAACTGAGCAGCACTCAGTTGCTAAATATTGTGGTCAAAATTTCGGATTGACACCTTTATAAATGCCAAATTCCATTTAACATTTTGCATGACTTCCATCTGGAATGGCTTACCTGGACATCCGAACAGAACACAGCAAATCTTTTTAGTGGTACCTAACATTTAACAAAATATCTGCTGGGAAAATACTGTCTCTTAATCAGTACATTCAAACTTTTCACTCGTTCTTGTTAGTATTACAGGAGTTTGATGGCTGTTTTTTTGAACAGTGGCATTTCTTTTTGCTGTGGCATCAGTGTTGTTTAACCCCAGGAGTCTGTTGCATTGACTATTGATTCTGCATATTTCACTCAAGCTATTAGACTTCAACTATATACATGAAAGATTATTTGACAGTGCTGCAATCTCTTTGTAACAGATAATGGCTTCTAGTTCTTTGCATGTTTATTGCCACTGCACCTTTAAGAGGCTGTAAAGTCATTGCAGAGCGGCTTACTGTTGAATTTCATAACAGGAAAGAATGCTTTGATCCAGTCATGACACAGATTGTAAACCTGCTCTGTGGCTTGTGGAGGCTGTAGCTGTTAGGTATTACAACACTTGACTGTAGGTCTTTTAGCTCGATCAGTTAAAGGATTGACTGCGAAAGCTGCTATTTTGGGTTCTTTATGTGATTTACCGTGACACTGATGTGTGCAGCGTGTCTCCAAGTGAGATGCTTGTCACAATGAATGTTTCATGCAGAAGATGTGACTAATTGTCAACGCATTTGTCTATTTTGATGCAGAGTTGGATACACGTCTGTGTCCGTTTCCTGCTGTTCATCACGCTTGGGGTACATTCAGATACACTTGACGTCAACCCAGTGACCGATGACATCTCTAAACTCTACACTTTGGTAAGCACAACACTGCAATTATTAACCACTGAATAATGAGAAACTACATACACTGGATGACTGATCCACAAGGCATAGAATTGTGTTCCTGTTTTTGAGGCACCAGCATGGATTTTATTTCTATATATTTACACAGTGTAAAAATAAAAGCACCCATATGTAACCTAATTACAAGTGAGATGTGGTTACCAGTCTGGACTGGCAGGCGTATGGTTCTGTTTTGTCACTTTCACCCACATTTTATGACTGTCATTACTGAAGCAGCTGTGGAAAACCACCTACTATAATGACAAAATGAATATGTACAAATGTCAATAAGTGAATGAGCATCTTGTCTTGCTGACAAGCGAGTGAAAAGAACTTGATGTAAACATCCTAAAAAACAAACTGGCAACACAAGAAGTGGCAGGTATTACAGGACTGGGTCTTAGTGTGTTTGTAGTTTTCTTAATTCCAAAGTCAAAAACATTAACTCCTGCTGCTTGTTTTGACATGAATGTGATTTGTTTGCAGTTTACTGTTATTATACATTTTTGTTTTCACAGAAGCAAAATATTCCTAAAGATTACAAAATTCCTGTGCGCTACGTTCCAAAACAAGAGGTAAGATATTGTGCTGCCTGCCTGCATTAAATCATAGAGAATAATAACGTCCAAATGTATGTGAAATTCAGCATCTTCACAGGTGCAACTACTTCATTTTTTAGTTCAGTTCAATTCAATTCAGTTTTATTTGTATGGCGCATATTTACAACAACAAGTCATCTCATAGCGCTTAACAAAGGCAGAGACAGAAACACCCAACAATCCAAAACATTTGGATTCCCTATAAGCTTCAGCAGTCCGCAAGCAGTCCACAACAGTGGGAAGGAACCGAAAACCCCACAGGGGAAAAAAATACTCCGACAGAACCAGGCTCAGGGAGGGACGGCCATCTGCCTCGACCAGTTGGGTGGATGTAGAATGAATTATAAAATTTAGTGTACAGTTAAACAAGTTACTATTAGTTATTAGTTAAAACCTTGGATTTTTTTAAAATGATCTTGTTGCTTTTCCCAAGAGGAGGAAACCCAGTTACAATTTTATTCTTAGTTAGACCTTCACTTGGCTTACCGTGTTGTTAATGTGTAGTGTAAATACTGGATTTTATGCTTTGTACAGTGTTAGTAGTAGTTGCTATCATCTGGATATTTACACTATGTTGGATATCCATTGCACTGAAAGCTTTCTTGGTGACACCATAATAAATATGATTGTACACTGCAATGCACAGAACATGCATTTTATACCTTTTCTCTGCTCTTACTTTTCCAGGGTGGGATGTGTTGGGTGAAATTAAATGTCTTCCCTTTGGAGGCGAGTTTACAAGATTTAGCACATAAGTTTGGAAACATTTCATCCAACAGAAACGACATTAGGATATTCATCCTAATACTCCAAGACCTGCGGCTCAAAATGGGTACAGTGGTAAGTTCACACTGTGTTTCCACCATAGACTTGCTGAATAATAGATGGAAAACAGACATTACTGAGTCATGTCTTAATAAATCACTATAATGAACATGCTTTTGTATATTCTAAACTATCTTCAACTGTTACTACTATGTGTTTGGAGTGTATGTCTGAAGGTGTACTGTCTTGACTTAAAGATTTAACACTGAAATTCATTAAAAAAAAAAAAAAAAAAACCTTCTACAGGCAGCAGGAATAAATTATGCTTAGACTACAAGTAATGTTGCAAGCCATTCAGAGTTGTACTTGTATCTAGTCAAGACTGCCTATACTGAGACTGAAACAAGACTGAGACTTTGAGGGGTTGAGACCAAGTCAAGACCAAGAACAAGTCAGGACAAAGCCAGGACCAGATCATTGCATGAAATGAACTATTGATTGCTTTACATGCAATCACTTTATTGATTTCAACAAATAAATAGGAAAGTTTACAGGCAATTTCCAGCTATCCTCTCAGTTGTGGTCTTGACTAGTTTTGTAAAAAAGAAATTCTGATTCCTTTTTGTTTCGAGATTCAAACACAACCCAGTAAAAATGTGGCTGATTCCCAGATCTTCATGTAGACTAATGTTGCAGCATTATATTAAAACAGTGTTATCTTTTGAATTCGAATACCATAACTTGCATAATTAACAGTAGCAGGAGTAAAAGTGAAACATTTTCAAAACATTTTTCTTTCTACCGCAGGATTTCAGGGCAGCCACAAGGTACCACATACATTGCAACCTTTCTGCAGTGCAGGATCCATGATTTGTAATCCCAACATTAAATCTAAGTGCAAACATCAAAAAATAATAGTGACTGCATATACACCCATATCTATGAGCACATAGGAGCTGTTATATTAACTTATATTGCAAATTTTACTTAATTTTTGTTAATTTTACAAAGAAGACGACAAGAGGACAGAAAAATGGCATTTGATGTCATCTCGAAGTTTAGCAAATCAGCATTGAACCTGGCACAATAGTTTTCCAAGGCCACTCAATTATCAGCTTCACAGGCATTTGAATCCTTTCAGTTACAGCCTTGAACCAAACTGTGCAAAGGAAAACTGAGTTTTCTGTGAACTGTGTTTTTGCATTTGCAGGAGCTGATCATGTACGATTTTGAGTGCCACTACAGGGAAGAGAGGTGGCACACAGAACAATACTTTGACTTTGTCAAAGAATTCCTTACAGCTGCACAGAATAAAGAAGATTCAGATGACTGTGATCCTCCTCCCTGTCCCACCACACCATACACAGTAATAGCAGAAGAATATTCAACAGGTGAATAATTATTTTATGTAGAATTTATACATTGCATGCTTGTGGAACCTAATTAGAGGGAAGATTGATCTGTTGAAGTTTAGCAGACAAATACCACACACACACACACACACACAAATTCACTGCTGCTTAGCAGAACTTTTCTATAGATTTCCATCTTACCTATAGAACCTGTCATTGGTGATTTACAAGTATTTGGTCTCTTATATATGCTCTTATATATATACGTTAAGATTTCTCAAACAAATAGTGAACTATGTAGAGGTTTGTTTTCTTTCAAGTCATATGATGTAAATCATTCCTCTTATGGAGTGCTATGAAATCATTAAGACAAAAAACAAGGACAGAATTCATGTTATAATAAGACACAGCTGCGACTTATGTCTCTTTCAGAGAAAAGCAGTGACGTAAAAAGTATGAGCTTACATATCTTGGTTGTTATTCTTTAAAAAAGTAAAAGTTACAACATTCCCACAATGAACTGCATGCTGCACACTCATGTTCATCCCATCTGGTGTGTGATGTTTTAAACAAAAGCACACTGCAATAAAATCACAAGGCTAGTGAACAATAGTAACAATCCAGCCTTCTCTGGATGAAGCTGTTGTTTTTGAGGCTGTAGTGTGAGACAAGTGTAATACCAAACAAGTCTCCTTACACCCAACCTTTTAATCTGGATATCAAACTGTGTCTCCAGGGGATAACGATGGGTGGGATGGGATGAAGCACCCACGTGATGGCTGAGTGATAAAACAGCTGTGTTTTTTTCATAGGTAATAATTCAAGTGCTGAGAGCACAACAATAACACCTGGTTCTGGTTACAATGCACAAATAAGGAAGGCTGATTCCAATGTTCATATTTATGAACAGATTGATTGGTCCCATTGGGTTTCAGTTTCAAGAATCAGATCAATTTGGAATGAATCTGGTCCATGTCAGGAGAAATAATACTCTGCTAGCCAGACATTCTATGTGTGACTTGTGAAGGTGCCGACGAAGACATGATCCTAGAAACATTTGTTCAACACTTTCTCATATTAGCATCCTGTATCAGTCACCATTTCCTCAGAAACAGCTTCTTTCATCATAAGTGATTTACATCAAAGCTTTTGAACTATCCTGTATTACATCGGCAGTACTTCTGGTGGGATACATGACTGTTTATGGCCCAGAAATCATGTCTTCAAAGCGTTCTGCACCACAAGCAAAGTTCTCTACTTTACCACTATAATTTGGGTGAAAATCTTTTGTGGATATCTCAAAACCTCACCAAAGAATTCCAGACTGTCTGCAGCAATGTCTGCTCAATACTGTTGGAGATAAGTGAGAAAATATGTGTTTTTATGATCCTGGTTGACCGTCACTTTAGGCACTGCGTTTCAAGTCTTTTATTGTAGTAAGCATTAGTTGCAGGTGACAATGTAGGTCACTCTTCCCACACACATTTTCTGAAGCTGGTTTACAAATTCTAACCAGCAACATTCCACTCACAAGCTCACTTGTGCTTCTAAAACTACCGCTTACCCTCTTTGGACTATTGTGAACAGCCTCTATTTAGGACAGATCTCTTGTGGAGAAGCTTTTAATCCAGGAACCATTGTTTCCTCACAAGAACTTTGCAAGATAAAAACTGAAAACGGTCTCAGCGCTTAGACGGCCCATTGAGACACAGCTGAGTCACAGGACTGAGGGAAGATGTCCCAAGGTAGCACATGTGAAAAGGAAGAAGAGGGCCGAAACCTGACTGTATACGTGTTGATTACAGAGCAATCTCCCAATCTTCCCAAGCGCTTGGCTTTTCTTTGCCGGAGTGGTCGGATCAGGTCTTTTGTGTGTGTGTGAGGGGAGGGTAGAAAATGTGGTGTTGAGGTGACTTTTTAGCACCTGACAATGAAATGTTTTCATTATCAGGCAGTGGCACTTCTCCCCCCCCCCCATTTTTTTTTCAAAAGTTCTCCACTCATTTTTTTCCTTGTCTCCTCACAATTCTTGACTTCCCAATTCATCTCTGTCTCTTTTTTTTTTTTATGTTTTGTTTGTTTTTCTCCCCCAGAATCACCCACTCCCAGCAGTAAAGGCCCAGAGTGTTCAACTGACTGCACAGCATGTAAGTTTGCAATTCTCAGTGTATCTGAGAAAAGTGTCAAGTTGAGTTGAAAAACCAGCCCAGCTGGTGTGTCAGATTGGCAACTTTTGCAATTACAGTATTTTGCCACATTGAATAGCAAGCAAGCCTGTTTCCCCCGAGCTGCTGTCACTTGATTGATGATACTCTTCAGGGTAAATTCCGCATCAGGTCTTTTGTCCCATGCCTTATCTTGTCTTCTGCCTTTGAGGCTTTTATTTACCTGCATTTTTAAAATCCCTTTAAAATTTGCTGGTCTGTTACTGTTTAAGTGAGTGGATGTTGACAGATGGAGAGAATTTACATTTTTTAACTCTCAGTATAGAAACACATGCAACGGTTCTGTTGTATGAATGTATTTAAGCGTGATAAACTCACAGAAACAAAACTGTACACTGGTTGTAACACCACAGCAGTGACACTGAAGTGAAAAATAAATCATTCATCTCAGTCTGTAATGGTTTGGGTGTCTTTTACATGTCAACATGGATACATATTAATTAAGTACATTAAAGTTTTTTTTAAGATCCTTAAAAGTCTTTAACTTTAATATTTTAATTTATTGGCATTAGAAAACATTTATATAGGCGTTTTTATATCTTAAAACATATCTGGAGAGGTTCTTTAAGGCTAATCTGGAATGAATGCTTTGTTTTAAAAGTCAGTGGTCAATGAAACTTACCATTTGATTGCCACTCTGCACATTACCAATTGCTTGTACAACATGAAAGTATTTTAATTTAAAGTAGTATTTGGTCATTCTGGTTTTTGTTGATGGTGGATTTAGTTTCCACTATCAGCTGGTAAAAAAAAACAAAAAACTATTATTAACCAGGAGTTGAAGATTTTATGTATTTATTTATTTTTTTAAGTTTTCCTTCTGATTCTGATTTTTTTTCCCCCCTCTCAGATACAGAACCAAGATACCTTCCTGAGGTGGTGGAGCGAAGCCTTCTCTCCTTACTGCTCATTCCACTCCTAGCCCTCGTATTCCTGCTTGTGTGGAAGGTGAACTTACCTTTGACTCCAGACACTCAGCTGTGTGTCAGCTGTATGTCTGTTTGTTAGTGGCTGATTATATTGTGAGGGTGTAAGTGCTTCATTATAGGGGATTTATGACAGATAGCGGCGGCCTTTCAAACTGCAGCAGATGATTGTAGTTATGGTGGTGTTGGCTTTGGAATTGAACGATTTCTTAACCCCACGCAGGTCAGATCACGGAGCAATGAGGAGGAGCTTCAGCAAAATCATGCAGAAGCTGGACTCTTCACTGGAACAGAAGGGACTGCACTGCCACTAGATGCTGAAATATCAGAAAAGTATGTTGTTGTTGTTGGGTTTTTGTTGGCTTTTTATATTTGGTTTTTAATTTATTTTTTTTTTAATTTTAGTTTCTGCAAAATTTGAGCAGAAAACTGCACCCATTAGTTACCTCATGGCTTGTTGCCACTGCAAATTAGTTGTTTCAAGGAGCAATGAATTAACAGTCCAGAAATGGGGTTGTTATAAAGGAAGTGGGAATTTAGAATGCTGCTATCTTGTTGCATTATGGAAGAGGCAATAACCAGCTGTTTTGGAGCGTAAACTGTACTGGAGACTAAACGACTGTGTATCTGAGTCTCAGCTGCTTTCCTTGTGGTGTTTTCTTTGCCATTCTGCCTTTTGTAGGCCAACGTTAGGCATCCGATAGGTCTAATTTGTTGACATCAGGCGAGGACTAACACAAATAGAAGCTCACATTCACACCTGCAGTCAATTTAGAATTACCAATTCACCCAACATGTGTGCCTTTTGACTGTGGGAGGAAGTGGGAGCACCAACAGAAAACCCACACAGGCACAGGAAGAACAAGTAAACAGAAAGGCCAACGCTGGCCAGAGGTTCAAACCCAGAATCTTCTTTCTCACAAGCCACTATTATATAGCTGGACTTTAGAAAAACAAAAGACATCATGTATACATACCTTACCACAACCGGTTTCTGTAGACTTTCCAATGATTGGTGTTCCAATGACTTTCATATGACGGAACTCTTGGTGCATCCATGACTTAACTTGACTTTACTGGTATGAAGAGAGCAAGCAAAACAAAAGGCACAAACACATGATTAGATTAGATTACTATTGGAGTCATCAACAGTTTGACTGATAAGGTCTTTAAATGAGAAATCAACATCAGCTCAAAATTACCACTGACAGCTAGAAAATGCCTTCAGGCTTAAAGTATTCTGTTCTCTTTGAAAATGTTAGATATACATGAAAGTTGAGGGTTTTTTTTTATTTTTTTTATTTTGCCCAGTGAATGTGTACATTTAAAAAGTATTGTATTTTATGTCTACAGCTGACCTTAATAATATGTTAATTCCATTACAAGAGAGACCTGATGTTCTCTGCATTTAGATGTGAGCATTTATTAGTATCGGTCAGAGTTTAGATCTGATTATCTGATATCGTTTTAACTGCCTTGTCTGACTTTGAGGGGTTAAATTGTAATGACATGCTTATATGATCGTCTGCATGTTAATCAGTGTTTGCTGATCAATTACCTATGTAGGAAATGAAAAGACCTTTTGATGGTGTTGGTTACAGTGTCACACTGTTTTCACATGATGTGCTTCAAACCACTCTGTAAATAGTTTACATAACATAAACTATAAGTTTTTTATGAAAGAATTTTATCATCTGATTAGGCTGTATTGTGGCCCTACTCCAGGGCAGCACTCTGGAAAAACTGCAGAATTACATGCTCAGATGGTTTCAAATTCCAAAAATTTGAACTTGAATCATGAATGAGTTCCTTGGAACCTAATTTCCAGAACTGCGGATTTTCTCGTGTAGACTGTCGTCTGATTGCGCGCTTAACGTGGTATCTGACTCTTGTCATGTGAAAGCAATTTCTGCTTGCGCTGTTTGTTTGTTTTTCTGGTAAAGAATAGCGTTTAATATTTTTCTTTCTGCCCAATCACAGAGACAAGCTGAGCGTCATCGAAACAGTGTAATGCTTCTATCCATCAATGTTCTTCAGTATACTTGGTGAGATTTTTAATATTGTATTGAACAGGAGCAACAAACAGTCTAAAAAATGCAAAGAATCTTGTTTGAAATCTTACCTTACACTAAACTCTAACCTCTCCTCATACTTCTCTCTCACAGGGCTCTACTCTTCTCTCCTGTTGGTGTCCAAACATGAAAAACACACATGAGGCTGAACTCTATAGTGAGATCTCTGTTTTTGACTGCTCTCCAGATCCATGATGGCATATTAACAATTGCCGTGACCGAGATTCTTCTGGTTAAAGCATGCCTGATACCGTATGGATAAGCTTGCCTTTCTTAAAAGACTGCATTAACCCCATGCATTTGAAAAAAACAAAACAAAAACTGAGATTTTAGCTAATAGAAACACTCATCCACCCCTTCAACCCTCATCCATCCATCCATCCATCCATCCATCCATCGCGACCTGCTGCATCATCAACTTTTTGGGGAAAAATTTGCCTCTTTCTCAGCACGTTGCTCCAGTCTGTCTGCACCTTTGGGCCTGCCAGTTCACTTACAAAGAACAAAGCAGAGACTGACTGATGCTGGTTATCTCTTGTATGAACTGAGGCATGAATTACTACCTCCAGTGGCCCTCTTGTTAAGCACATTCTCAACAGCTCCGCAGTTTCTTCTTCATCTGGGGTGTCCCAAAGAATAATAATGTTAAGCGTTGTAGTTCCAAGGTGTAGTCGCATTGTCTGGATTAGGTGTGTACCCATGGGGGTGTATGATGTATTTATTTATTGGTTTCAGCACTCAGCTGCTGCTGTTCATACAGTACAACTGAAATGTTTCAAGCATTTAAGAGTACCTTTACTAATGAGTCACATTTAAAGAACAATCTGTAAACTAACACATCATAAACCCAAAAACACATTCCTAAACAAGTGACATATTCTTGTAAGTTGTTGTTGTTGACTTGGGTGATTTAGAATGTGTGAGTGGATTACATGGAGAAAAAAAAAAAAAACATATATAGAAAATATGCTGCTTTGACTAACTTACATTTAGACTATTAAAATCTGTAATGACATTCTGTTCATGAGTATCAGGGATGACTTGTGTGGATCAAGAGTTTTTTTTTATTATTTAAAGGTGAATTATGCGGAACGTAGGTGTCAGGCACATATAAGACTACAGTGGGCCTCCAATAATAAATGTTAGTTCAACAATGCCTTTATTTTTTACTTATCTCACCTTTATGTTTGCAAGGCAAAAAAATAAACTGTTACAGGAGAGATTTTTTTTTCCTTTATTAAAGGAAAACAAACCAAATCGCTAAAGAAGACACAGTTTGTAAAAACAAACAATTGAACAACAAAAACCATATGATATAAAATTTTGTAATCAAATTTCTGTTATTGACTGTTTATTCAATGACCAAATGTACTCACAAACCCATCCAGCTTTGTTCACTCGCAGGGTTCAATCTGTTCTCACTGATTTTGCCTTTGTCCAGTATTAGTGTTGTGCTTGCATAATAAAACCCTTCATAGACAATCTGACGAAGACAGTTAGTGCATCTATCAAGCTTCAGATGGTAAAGAAAATGCTGAAGGATGATGCCGATGCTCATGAAATTTACAGACCACACACCTTAGTTACTTTCACAATCCACAATGCTCGCCACATAGGAATGCCATGCAAACCTAAACATCAACTTTGCCTTAAAGTTGCGCCACAACACACTTTAAAGGAAATGCATGGTCATCTCCTTCACATACTGAACTGTAGCACAATGGTGTGACTTTCAAAACGTTTTCCTTTTTTTTTTTTTTTTTTAAACTTGGTGAGTTTCAGATTTGTCTTTCCCAAGTGTTTGAAAATCCATTTGACAGGCCAGAAATCATTAACATACTTGTAGTCAACTGTAAACGGTTGTCAGTGAGGTTGTTAAATTCCCTTGTATTCAGCTCTAGTCATTGCTGAAACCCTCAGGCCCATTCTGGTAATAAACTAATGGGCTCCTCCCTGCACTCCTTTACTTGGTGCATTCTGAAACTGGAGAAATTACAAGTTGGAAGTGCTCCTTTCCAAGTAATCACAGATCTTATCAGAGCTACGAGGAGAAAGGCAGAGGGGTTAAAAATATCTAAGAAGACAGTTGACTCCCACAAAGCCTGACCCAAAGACCTAGCAAAGTAGACCATTATTGGATTCTGGGTTTGAAGATGATTATCGATACTATTAATGACAATCACTGAAGAGGTAGGAGTGTGAATAGGGCACGCTGGCTGTGACCTTTTCCATCAGGCAACTAGCTGAAAATGACAGAAGTGGCAGGACACAAACATCTGTTTCTGTATCTAGTTAGAGTATTTCTATCATATTTGTGGTCTTATGTTGTACCATGTCCATTCTTGGTTTTGTGCCTTGTTTGATTAGTGTGACTGACTCATGTGTAAATGTCAAAAGCCTGTCTATATTTCTGTGTGGTGGCAGAAAGTGGGGAGATCATTACAGTGCAGATTAGAATAACTTCACCTCAATAACCCAGTAGACATGATTCCTAGCCTCTCTCCTTTTTTAAATACCAATTTAGTTGGCTTGACCTGTGCCCAGTTACGATTTGGAACCCAGTTTCCTGGTAATGCCGTGCTTTGGTATGTGAAAACTATATCAGCAAAAATAAACTGCAGTGGTTGTAACATTTCTGTCCACATGTTACATTTTAGCCTTTGTAACCTTTAGGAAACAGTTCAACTGGTATCTGCTTGTTTCCTGTGTATCGGGGATTATATGTTGGGATATTTTTTGCAGGAGACAAGAGTATGTTGTGCAAAAATGAAACTGTATTTGAAAAAAAAAAGAAAGAAAGAAAAAAAGAGAGAAACGTATACCACATTGGTGTTCATATAGTTCAGATCAACAGTATGTTTCAGCATCAATAGCTGGAATTCTTTGGTGTGGTGAAGTATCGTTTGTTGTGTTGAACTGCAAGGCAACTTTTTTCATTCAAAAATGCATTTTTGAGGAACACTATTCATGGGGACACATTACCTGTGCCATATTCTCTATGGCAGTTTAGAGCTAAATCTACGTTAGGAAAAGTAAACCACACTGGTGTCCATATAGTCCACCACAACAGTACTTTTAGCAGGGATATCCGAAATTGGTAGTGTGGTAAAGTGCTGTAATTTCATAGCTTTTAGGCAATTATTTCCATTCAAAGATGCATTTTTGAACAATATTGGAATACACTATCTATAGCAGTTTAGACCTGAGACTTTCTCTTTAGGTTGTGCTTCTCTACATGAAGACTATTACATGCAGTGCCCAGTATTCTGACAGAGACACAGGTTAGCCACAAACTAACAAACAAGGTATACTATGTCAAAATTGCTTTTTATACATAGTCTATGAATATAATGAGCTGCAACAGGTCTAAGCTGTGAACAAAAAAACAAAATAAAACAACATGGTCTCCCATTTTCCTGTCTGTGCGAGAGCCAGAAACAGTTGGTATGTCTGATGCATGGAAGCTAGAAACCAAGCATTTTCGTGCATTAGCCGAGAGAATGACTGCCCTTCAATACTGTTCCTATGTGGGTTGTTGTATGGTCTCAGAATAACCAGAGCTGCATCCTGAACAGTGTTTTCGGGCACGAGTGATCCAATCCATCCCACTCCAGTGGGTGAATCAAATGGCTCTAGGCAGGAAATAAGTCTGGGTGCCAAAAAACAGATGTAATTATTGCCCGGTTGGTATTCTGGGTGAAAACTCTACTGTATTCTGTATTTTTGTATAAATGTAAACAAACATATATGAAATATGAATAAAGTACACATATCCAACTGTTCCTCATCAATTTGTTTGTTTTTCAAACTTCTGTGGATAGTTTCTGGTGTGTCCAAGAGGGATGCAATTTTGCAACAGGTGAAATAGCGTAGCTATGGATAATTACTGACATGCACTGGGAAAAGAAATCTGCAAGTTTCAAAGTTGCATGGACACTCCAACTTCCTTAAAAAAAAAAAAAAAAAAAAGCAGTCTGTAGTTTTGTTTGTTTCTTTGTTGCATAGTTAGGTTTAGTATGTGTTTGCCACCTGTTGCTACAAGATCAAAATATGTGAATTGTTTCTAAATTCTAAATGACGATATTTAAGGTATTTGACGGTTTGCAGAAGAAAAAAAATTGTCACATAATCAGTGTTTAAAGCTTCAGATATCATTTCCTGAGAACGCTGTTTTCAAGTAAAACCTGTTCTCTCCAACAGTTTGGTTTTTGAACTCTTTTTTTTATACATTTTTGGGGAAAACTTGCTGCCTTTAATACTGTGTTATGTGTGCAGTTCTTAATACAATGAAGAAAAACTGGCATCCCTTAAAAGCTGGTGAATGATAGCTCTTACCTCGCGAGGTTTCAGCTCTCCCAGAAGAATGTAAGCACATACCACAAGTTTGTGTAGCTCATTTGTGACCACATTTTGCTAAAACAATTGTACCAGAGGGAGTGCTTGGCCTTTAGCCTTCTGTCTATAGCCACTTCAAAGCTGTGCCTATATCTCATGGTTTAGAATGACCTTGAGTATGTTATTGTTTTCATGCAGTATTTATCCCTGACAAGCTTTCTTTGATTTCGATAAAATGTTTGTTTTGTTTTGTTTTTTTTTCAGAAATAATTATTCACACGTCTCCAGTGGTAATGAGCTGAAATGTTTTGCTAGCCTTGTGATATCACTTACTTAATTGTAAGACATTGTAAAAAATACTTCTAATGCATTAAATTATAAAACGTATATTGGTATGAACCAATTTAAAAGTGAATAAATCTAGTATAGTTTGCTTGGTTACATTACAAATTGCTCCGCAATTAATCTCACAAAGCCAAAACCTAATGTTTTTTTGGCTTCAACATGTTAAGCTTCACTACACCTGACTGGAACAACATCCTGACCAGTTGTGTTTGGTCCAACTCTTAATGAAGCACGAGGCCAACACACACCCTGCTATCTGTGATTGTATGAGTCACCCTGAACTGAAACACAGGAAAGACCTCATGACAGACTATTAATCACTCGGTTTATTTCTGACAATGTACCAACCAAACTCCTCTCAAAAGTATTCCAAATGAACACGTTTCAATTTCATTTTAGCTGTCAAGTGTGATGTTTTACTCTCTATTACTATGCTGTTTATACTAAAACAATCTTCATTTGCCACCTCATTTATTTCAGTGACCCCCTGAATAAGTCAACAACCCATTTTTGAAGAAAAAAAAAAAAAGGAAGAATGATCTGGAAACCTATTGTAGTGTTACAATAAAAAACATCTTTCATCACTTTTGAAAAGCACATCATTCAGTCTATTTTATCAAGAAGCTGTGAACTTGAAGATTAATACTTCTAAGTGGTTTTTAAGTGCAGCATTGGGGAAATGAGTTGCTTTTTCAAGGAACTTTCTACACTGGTTCTTGAGTTATTATTGATGGAAAAGTAACTCTCTTCTGAATGATTTTGCAAATGTGTCATGCTAAAGTCACTGCTTGAGTTGCTGTATTTCTTGGATTTATGGTTTCATTTTTAACAATACAGCTATTCTTCTGTGTTGAGTTTTAAAAATACAAAAAAAAAAAAAAAAAGATTGCATCTGTTTAGCTGTGTTGCAAACCTCTCCGAACATGCTGGTAACTGTATTCCTGCCTGGATTTTCATCAGAGTTGTTATAGGGCAAACAAAGAGACCATCCATCCGTCCATCATGTATACACCGCTTAATCATCACCAGGGTCGTGGGAGGACTGGAGTCTATCCCAGTCGACTCAGGGTGAAGGCAAGGGACACCCTGGACAGGTCACCAGTCTGTCACAGGGCTACACTTAGAGACAGACAACCAAGCACACACACATTCAGACCTACAGACAATTAAGAATCACCAATTAACCTCAGCATAATTTTGAACTGGAGGAAGAGAATATGTTAACTCCACGCAGAAAGATCCCAGGCGAACTGGGGATCTTCTAGCTTCAAGCCGGCACAGAGTGTCAGTTCTTCGTGTAAGTCTTTGCTTTTCACACAATATTAACAAATACTGCTGAGTGAGATGCAAAAGTCTGAGACCACATGAAACTTGTCATATTTTCATGTAAAGCTATATAATCAGAAAGTTTGAGGATTTAGAATCATTCAATTGCATTTAATTTCACATTACTTGAAGTTGTGACTGTAAACTG